GAGGGGGGGGGGGGGGGGCAGGGCACCTGCCGAGGGAGAGAGAAAGAGAGAGATCATCCATCCATCCACACACACATTGATAGCTAAGGGGGGATGGGAGCATATATATAATATGAGTGGATTGGCTGTCTGCCTGACTTGCTCATGCCAGGTGTGGGTGTGGGTGTGATTTGTGGCGGCAGGCCAACAAGATGGGCGAGGCGGCCCAGATCACCGCCCTCGACGCCATCCGCAGCGCCCACCGACAGATGCACCTCATCAGCGCGGCCCAGCCGTGCGACCCCCCCTGTCCGCCAGGACAGCACTGTCACGACGGTGTCTGCCACGGCCACCACCACCCCTCTTTCATCACTACGGGGTGCGTCAAGGACACCGACTGTCCGGCAGGACAGCACTGTTGCGAAGGTGTCTGCAAGGCGGGGGCGGCGTGCGGTCACTGAGCACTGTCACGACGGTGTCCGCACGGCCACTAGGGCTAGCAGGTATGTGGTTCGATGCGTGATGGACACACACGGCCGCACACCCATCTGCTGGGTGTGTGGGTGCATGGGGTCTCTGCCTGTTTGTATCTGTGTGTGTGTGTGTGTGTGGCTATCTGTCCTGTCTGCAGGCGGAGAGATACCATCCATACGAGGTTCGGTTAGTCCGGTGGTGGGGGGCATCGCCTGGCTGTGGCTGTCTGTCTGTCTGGCTGTGCATGTTTGCCGTCCGTTTGCCCGCTGGATGTGGTGTGGGGTGTTGTGTGTGTTTTAAGAGACTTCCATGGCTTGTGCGGATGAGGTGAGGCGGGGCGGGGCCGGCTGGTTGGATGTATGCATGACAGAGGGCCAGGGGTGGACTGATGCGGGAGGGAGGGAGGGAGGAGCGGACTGATATGTGTCGGTCGTGTCGGTCGTGTCGGTCGTGTCGGTCTGGCTGTCTGTGCGTCTATACATACATACATACATTTCTTGTCTATATCGGACCGATCTGATGGACGATGATCAAGTAAACGAAGGAAACACACACAAATGTACGTCAGTCCTCACCACTGGGTGACAATCTCTTCACATTCTCGTCACAATGACGTGTGTAGCTTTCACAGTCGACACGCACACACGTTCCTTTACTCTACATGCTCCCCACACACACGTTCATCGAGTGTGTCGGCGGTCTGTCTCTCCCTCCACACACACACACACACACACAGCATGTATTACATAGATCACTCATCGAGACATGCATCCGCTCGGACTTAGTCTCGCGGACGGATGAGACATACATGAGTACATGTGCCGTTGAATGTCACATGTGTGTGTCTCTCTTGTTTGTCTGTCTGGGAGAACACGCCTTTACAGCGCATCTGCAGCGCGAACTCGACTTGAATGCACACCGAACGAATCTATAGGTCCCCTCAGTCAGTCGACACAGAGACTCGGCAGGCAGCACTCAGGCACTCACTATCAACGCACACACATGGACGGACAAGGCTGCAAATACAATACACACATAGCCACCCACCCACCCCCTGACGTCACTGCCCCACCAGCAAGGCCTCGTCCACCGCCGCAAACAGCCGCGTGCACTCGTCCTGCTTGAACACGCTGGCCGCCGTCACGCCCTCGTCGTCATTGTCAGGCATGCACTCCCACACACCCGTGTGGCTCTCACTCTCCCGTAGGTGGACGTACAGCGTCGCAAACAGCGCCCAGGACCGGTGCCCGCCTTCGCTGGCGGCAGCAGCATCGCCTTGGTCGGTGTCAGCGGCGGTGAGGACGGGGAAGGGGAGGGCCTTCAATGGGCCCATCACACCATGCACCAAGGGGCCGCAGGAGGGGTGCCTGGCATGCCAGGCAGCCCGACAGCCAGACAGACAGGGACCAATTGCACCAAGTCAGATGAGTGTCTGTGTCTCCGTCACTGGTTGTCTCACTCACTTGTGTGAGAGGTAGCTGGCGAAGAGCAGCAGTGGGGGGCCGCGCACAAAGAGGGGCGCCAGGAACATCAGAAAGGGATACACACTCACATCCAGGCTGCCCAAGATGCACGCTGCGACCGACGACAACACACATGGCATGGCAGGCGGAGAGACAGAGACACGCAGATGCTCATCTCATCCATGACGCTCGTCGATCGGTCGACAGCAGGTGTCTGTCTCACTCACTCTCTGGGACGAAGAATCTTCTCTGCCACTCGCGCAGCCTCGACTGCTCCCCTCCCGGACAGAACACATCATGGAATAGAGACAGGGCACCTGCACACACACAACACACACAGGCAGGCAGACAGACAGACAGAGACGAGAAATGGCGACACCAGCAGTGCAGTATGCATGTGTGTGTGTGTGTGTATCGCGTGGCTGACCGTCTGGTCCCCTGGGGTGTGTCTGCCTTTGTGTGACGGTCTCGACGCCCCCGCCATGGTCGTCCTCCTCGCCCACCTCGAGCTGCATGTAGGTGTAGCTCTGCCACAGACAGCGACTCATCTCCTGCCAACCGACGACACTCCCAGGCCGACACTCCTGCACACCACAGAGGGAGGAGCGACACACGAGTCAGTTAGAACGACAGTAGGTCGTGGTGGCGGGGTGTGGTTGTGTGTCGGCTTGCCAGGAATTCTGCGGCGATCCTGAGCTGTGCCTCGGGTGTGAGAGCAGGCCTCGCGCGATAGGCCAGGATGAGACTCTCGTCGTCACCCCTGCACATCAGACAGACAGACACTGCTGTATGGTATGCCTCCTTTCCTAATGGTCCTTTTCGTGTACCTCCCTGCCTGCCTAACCCACCGCCCTACCCTGATCGCTGGATGTACTCTCTCGTGTACTGCTCCTGCAGCTCGGCAGCGCACCAAGATGCATCCATCGAAGGCAACACACACACAGTCCGTAGGGCCCCCGTCGATCCTGTCCCTGTCTGTCTGTCCGTCTGTCTGTCTGCGCCACCTTACCGACCAGTCGTGTCCGTTCTGTGGGTGATATGAGTCCCTGTGTGAGCACCTGCCGCAGCGCCTCCTCCTGCAGCAGCACCAACAAGAGCTCCAAAGCCACCATGTTTGACGGGTTGCCACGCACGCAGCTCTCAAACAGATCACGGCACTGACACACAAACAGACAGACAGACAGACAGACAGACGTCCGATATGGGCGGGCAAGGGCGTGTGTGGTGGTGGTGGTGCTGGTGGTGGTTACGGTGTCTGATGCCCGCTCGATGAGGAAGGCGAGACGCAAGAAGACCGGCGGAGGGGTCTGCCATGCCATGCACACAACGGACAGGGAGGGCAGCACATGACATGACATGACATGACATGCGTCCCCCGCATCGATCCTCAATGTCCCTCTCTGACAGGGCCATCCCCTCACCGTACCCTGTCGGCCTCGATGTATCCCACGATGGCCTTGAGCACCACCCTGACAACCACAAACACACACACACACACTCCACGCGTCCTTGTCTGGGCCAGATCTGATCAATGTGTCGACAGCACCCGGTGCCCTCGACATCCATCCTGAGGTCCCGGTAGGCCTCCAGCAGATCACATGAGCCAGCGCTCTCATCGTGCAGCAACTCGCCGAACCGCCGCAGAGGAACCGACGCGGGGCCATCGACATCCATGTCGTCATCCGCCCTCTCGCTGCTGCTGATGGTTCCCTCCGCTGGCCGTTCCCGTTGCTGCTCTAGCGCCTGGTGGACGTGCGATGCCGCGACTGCACCCGCCTCTTCGTTGGCTCGCACAAAGCGGTCGAGGGCACGGTAGCCTGACAGACAGACAGACAGACAGACAGACGGACATGAGAGCGAGATGTGAGTAGGGCAGCCGTGTGTGGTGGATGAGTTCGGTCTTACCCTGGACGATGGGGTGGTCACTCATCCGCCAGGCCTTGACACTCCTGACAGCATGACAGTGAAGCGATGAATGCACTGCACACGTGTGTGTGTCCAAGTGTGTGTGTGTGTGTGTGTGTGTGTGTGCACTGTGTACTTTTCGTCGAAGCTCTTGATCTCCTCGTGCTGTCCCTTCTTCAGCCAGAAGTCTATCAGACGACCAATCATATCCTCACGCTGCCACACACACACACACACACACACACGAGCGAAATGACACAGATCCAAAGAACAGACAGGCCGTTGTGTTGTGTACGTCTGTCTGTCAGACTGACCATGAAAGCGGTCGAGTTGGCGACCCCCCGGTAGAACCTCAGCCTGAGCTCCTCACACAGTGCGTGCCGCTCCCCCAGTCTGCCGATGGCCTCCTCGCACAGCCGCACCACCTCGGGCGGCACCCACAGGCCCGCGTCAACATGCCGCACTACCGCCTCAACCACGGGCAGCGCCGCCTCGAGCTCGTCGATGGCTAACAGGGAGTTCGCCAAATGGATGAGCGAGGAGCGGGAGCTGTGCTCGGGGTGTGGTACGCCTGTGTATCGGCCGGCTTTGCGCTTGGGATTTTCTCCGACTCGAGGACCGGGCTGCTCGTCATCCATCAATTCTTCCTTCGTCTTTGTCGCTGCCTCACATCCACAGTGGCAGATCTCTTATTATGTGCACGACTCGAGGGATCACACCGTAGCTCTCTGCACGCGCATTGCACATGCGTTTCGCGAGCGCGCTCGTGTCAGTTTTGCTCTAGCCGTGGGCTTCGTTCTGGACCTCGTGCGTGTGTTCCTTGGGTTCCTCTGTGCATGTGGAGCGATTGAGCGTGATTCGTCTGAGGACAGCAACTGATGCGAAGAGATGCGTCATTCCGCCAGCTCGGCCGACTCACGGCCAATCACCGGCAGCCCAGATGCGCCATCTATCCATCGGCGGGTGCAGCCCGACGCGCATCCACTGCGTCGATCAGCTCCCCACCTCCTCCCCTCCCCAGCCGCTTTCCCACCGTCAGCAGCGGTGAGTCCGCCTTCGGCTCGTTTGACCCGCGGGCCCTCATGCAGGCGGCGGTCAAGAGAGATGAGTCCCCTCCCGGCCGCGAGCATGAGTGGAGTCACCAGGTGGCCCTGCAGAGGCGGAAAGCCGTCGAGGAGAGGAAGCGGAGTCTGGCGGCTGTCGTGTACGCCAACCCCATCTGTATGCAGCTCGACCAGCTGCTTCTCAAGGCCAACACCATCGACGAGGTCAGACACACACACACACACACACACACACACACAGAGCCGGGAATGTGTGAAATGTTGGTCTCCCTGCCAATCCATTTCCTCTGTGTGTCGTTCATTGATTCATCGTGTGTTTCTGCAGATGTTGGGTCTGCTGGTCACGCACCGTGGGGTGTTTTTCGTGCACAATCTGATCACGGCGCTGCAGGTGCTGGGAGTGCTCTACGAAGACGCCGACGTGGTGCAGCGCTCAAACCTCATGGCCGACGAGCGATACGACGTGCTGCTCAGCGACCTCTTCAACTTCCGTGACAAGCTCGACTTCGACAGCCTCGCCAATGTGATTCTCGCCCTTCGCCAGCTCGGCCACAAATACTTCCGGCTGTTTGGCTCTTACCTCAAGCCGCTCATGACGCAGCCCGTGACAGACCTCGACGTGCTACTCAAGTGCGCCGACGCCTACTTCTGGGCGGGCTACCTCAAGCACCCCTTCTATGACCGGTGCGCGGACCACTTCATCGACAAGGGCACCCTGGACCACCAGCAGACAGTGAGGATGGTCCAGCTGTTCGGCTCGCTGGAGATGTATCACGCCAGGCTGTTCGAGTCGACCGAGGCCAGCATCTTATCACGGTTCCAGGAGTTCTCTCCCAGCGAGCTCGCCGGCATCGCCCATGGCTTCGCCGCACACAACCGGCCAAAACACGACTCACTCTTCGAGGCCGTCGCCCGCACCGTCGCGCGCCACACGGGCATGTTCACCGTCGGCGAGCTGATAACGTGCGTCTGCGCGTTCCGGCGAGTGGCTCTGCGCTTCGATGATGCACTTCTGGCGACGTGCGACCGGGTGCTGAGCCACGTCGATCTGGCCACCAACCTGCGGCGGCCTGCTGGCGTGTCGCTGACGCAGCTGTGCGGCTATCTGGAGTCGTTGGCGTATTTCGGTGTGGGTCTGGGAGGGGGCGGCGAGGTGCTGGCTGTGGTGAAAGGGGTGGTGCGGTACCTGGAGGACCATTTGGACGATGTGAGCGAGGAAGCGGCGACCAAGGCCGTCTTCGCCATTGCTGTCTACTCGATTGCTGGTGAGCCGGTGGAGGGGCCGACAGACAGACACAGACACACACACCCACACACACAGGCAAAAGGAAACTTCTGTGTGTGTGTGTGTGATATTATATGCTGCAGCTGATGTGCCGTATGCGTTGAGTTTTCTGTACCGGAAGATCGGCAGCACCCCAGCGTGGGAGAGGGAGCGGTACCGCGTGTTCCACCTGTGGCTGGCACACATGATCCAGTTCCCCTGGCTCAGACACAACATGCACCCACGCTGTGTCTACGAGGGCATGCGCACCTGGGCCATGCACAGAGGCGGCTTCGGCGCGCCATTCATCGACCAAGTCCACGAGGTCAGCCATTTGAGTCAGTCAGTGAACCCCAGAGAGAGAGAGAGAGAGATGTCGGCCGCGCGATGGTTTGACTGACTGATGGACGGATGGATGGATGAATGGATGGATGTTTGTGTGGTGTGTGTGTGCAGGTGTCATCAGAGCTGACGAAGCTGTCTGTGCCGCACACCGTGGAGTACCAAATCGACGCACCATACGTACTCGACATCAAGCTGCGTACGCCACACACACACACAGACAGCCAGCCTATTGATGAATGGATTGCAATGCAATGCGGCATGGGTTTTGTGTGTGTGATGGCAGGTGGTCGTCGTGATGTGCTGTTAGTGGTGTCCGAGTGCTCTCGCAACGGCCTGCAGCCATGCGGCAGCACCCTCCTCCAGCTCATACACCTCAGGTACCTACGGGCCCGCACACACACACATACCTGTCTGTCTGTCTGTCTGTGTGGCATCGGGTGGCCACCCGCATGACCCATGTCATGTGTGTGTCCGTGCCTTTGTGTCTGTCAGGCAATATGGGTACAACCCGATAGCCATCAAGAGGAGCCACTGGCGGTCGCTGGGGGCGGCGGAAAAGGCCGAGTACATCGAGGTGATATTGAGGGACAGTGATGTACCCATCTGCAGCAGTGCAGACAGGCCAGGGGAAGAGGAAGAGGACCAGGGGGCAGGGCGAGAGGGCCAGGCAGGAGCAGAACTAGAGACGGGTGTGTGAGGGAAACGGGGCAAGGCTGGAGGCAGGCAGGCAGGCAGCCATGACAGTGTGTGTGTGTGAATGAATGGCTCTTAGCGCAACTAATTGGGCCTAGACACAACTTCCGTCCCCACGAAGAACGAACGGATGAGCACGACGTCCTCTATCTAATATGTGTTGTTTCTTCCCCCGTCACAAACACACGCCCCTGCGACCCTCGGCGAACGAATGAATTGACACAAAGACACCTATTCCCACAAACCACTCACACACCCAGACCTTTCGTTCTATATAGATAGGCTCTGTCTCGGTAGATAGACAGACACATCAATCCATCAGGCAATGACGCACGCTTGGCAGCACTTGGCCTGCGGCACCCTCTTCTTCTTCCGCCCCCTCCCTCCCTCCCCCTCCCCGACCCCCTCATCGTTCTGCGCATCAGCCGACCGATCGACACCATTCCGGTGCTCGTCCTCACTCAGACGCGGCTTGGCTGTCTCCTGCCCTGTTGGTGCTGCTTCTGGGTGGTCCTGTGTGGGCTCTTCGCTGTTTGGTGATGCGGGTGAGGGAAGCTGCTCCTCCAGGATGATCTCGTTGTGTGGGGGCGGTGTGTGCGGGGCGATGACCTGGATGGACACCACCTCCTCGATCGACGGGGGGTTGGGGTCGTCGAAGGGGTCGCTCGTCCACTTGACCAGCTTCCCTTCCTGCCACACACCTGACAGACAGGCACAGAGAGAGAGAGGGGAGGGAGGAATAAACACAAGTACACACACCGAGTTCGTCAACAAATGGGTCGATCAATCTCTCTGCGTGCGGTTAGGTTAGCTTACATACCCCTCCTCGATTCGCCCTGGACGGTGGTGAAGACGCCCTCCCCGCTCTGTTTGCCGCTCTGCCACATGCCCCTGTGGCACCGCCCGTCGGTCCACCGAAACATTCCGAAGCCCTCCTTCTTGTCATCTCGATACGCACCCTTGTAGATGCGGCCGTCTGGCCACCTGGCGAATGAATGGGCAAACAAGGCGCCGTCTGGTGAGTCAGTCCATCTGTACTGACGCTCGTCTGTCTGCCTGTCTTACTCGAACGTTCCGTGTCCCTCCATGCGGCCATTTGCCACCTGATATATCGACGTGGGTTGACGGAGCAATGAGGGAGAGACGCGAGGGGGCAGATTAGGTTGCGTGTCTGTCCTGTCGATGCGATGCGTTCTATCCCCCACCCCACCTGTCCAGTGTACACGCGCCCATCCGCGAAGCGATAGACACCCTGACCTGTAGTCACAACACACAACACGTTGCTGGCTGGCTGAGTGTGTGTGTCGGGGAGGGAGGCATTCGATTGGCCGCACCGCATCTGTCTGTGTTGTGTGCGTACGTACCGTGCATGAAATCGTCTTTGAATTGCCCCGTGTAGGACCCCCCATCAGGCCACCGAAAGCAACCCTCACCATGCTTCATCCCGTGGCTGACCAACGAACGAGTGAGTGGCCGAATGGACGCATGATCTCAGGTAGGTAGGCAGTGGGCCATTCGTTTTCTTTGCCGGTGTCAATCTATTGCTGACCTGTAGCCACCCTCATAGTCTGTGCCGTCAGGCCACCTCTCCTTTCCCTTGCCGTGAAGACGCCCATCCTCGTCCCTCGGGCCCTCAGCTCTGCAACAAACACACAAACGCAACGCCGGCACCCATCTCAGTTACTCTGTTTGTTGCTCGTGTGTGCGGTGTGCGTGTTGACCCACGTGACAGAGTCTTCTGTGTGTCTGGTGGATGTGTCGGCTGGCCGCAGACCTTCAGTACCGATATCCAGCATCATTGTCTGTCTTTTCAAGCTCTTAATTTCTTTCCTTAATTGTGCAATCCGCTGCGCTGGCTGGCGACAGGGAAAGGCGAAAGACGAGAGGCGGTTTGTCAGGAGAGAAATCGGTCTCTTCTGCGAGCCTAGCTTCGCGGGCGAGCTGTTATCCGATCGGTGTTCTTTCAACGAAGAAAGTGCTTTGTCGTGTTGTCGCTTTAAAGCTTGAATGCGTGACTCTCGGACAGCCGCAACAAATCAGTGAATGCGTGACGGCATCTTGACATGCCAGGCTTGGGATGATGTACGTGTCCGTCTGCGACCCCGTGAGGACCTTGGGTGGATCTGAGAGGCCTCAGACGACGGCAACTTGGACACCAAACGAGTCGGTGAGGTGATCTGCCATCGGCCGATTCATCCATCGTGTTGCTGCCTGCCTCTTCCAAACTGGCTGCATCCGTCCAACCAACCAACATGCAGTCATCCGGAGGGCATTTCTCCCGCTCGTTGATCGCCATTATCCTGGTGCTCGGCTGGGTGATCTTGTCGGCGTGTGTGCCACTGAAGGACTTCTCTCTCCACCTGCCCAGCCCCCTCATCCTCCTCCCGTACAGCTCCCCCGGCCACCGTGTGTCGGTGCCGCTGCAGCTGCACGTCAAGCTGCCGCCCTACGCCCGGGAGCCGACCTACTGCGTGTGCTACCGGTGGCGAGTGCAGCACGACGAGTGGGTGGAAGTTGTCGACCAGGCAAGCGGCCAGCGGGTGGCGGGCAGGAGAGTGTGCAAGCCGGCCGAGTACGAGGGCAGCCCTCTGCTCGAGGTGGGGGAGGACGCCGTAAGGGTACACGAGACGATTCTGGCCCAGGTGGCTCAGGAGATGCACGACAAGTTCCCCGCCATGGACGAGGGGAAAAGGCTGGCCCTGCTGCAGTCGATACTGCAGAAACGGTCGACCCGGCTCGACGTCGAGGTGGACACTCCCTCTTCCGCGCAGCCCGGCGACAAGTGTGTGGCATCGACCACCGCAACAGCACCAGCATCGACAAGCGGCAAGGCGACCACCGGGCGGCGGAGCCACTCTGTGCAGGTGTATCTTGGCCTGGTGCACGAGCTGTTCCTCGAGACCAGGACCAAGGTCATCTATTTGGGTGAGGTGGAGACGGCGTCTGCGCAGGGACGTGACGCGGCCGGTAACTGGTTCTCGTCCCTCGACGGTTTGGAGCTGCAGTGGACCGTCACATCCATACTCTCCCCAAATGAGAAGAACAAGGACACAGGTACCTGAGTGTGGTAAGAGTGGGAGTAGGACACGGAGAAGAGAAAGGAACGCGAGAAAAGGGAGGGGGTCAGATTATGTTGTTGTGGTGTGTGTTTTGGCCCGTCAGAGGTGTTTGAGGTGGCGCAGAACGGCACGGCACACCACGCTAGAGGCCCGGGTCCCGTCAATGTGACCCTCCTCAACAGCACCCTGCTCCTGCAGAGCCTCGCCATCGGCCGCGCAAAGGTGCGCGCCCAGCTCAGTGCATCCGACTACCTCATCGCGCCCTCCTTGTTGCCCCTCCCGCCATCCCTCCCCCTGCCGTCACACGAGGTCATCTATCGTGTACTGGAGGAATACGAGATCCTCCCACACACATTGAGGATGCCCACCTACGGCCAGTTCCAGTACCAGGTGTACTTGCCGCGGCGCAACACATCCGATGGCAGCCCGGCGCTCGTGCCGTCCCGAAGGTTGTCGCTCGTGCCGCCCGCTTTGCCGCGTGACGGGCCAGATGCCAAGAGGCTGATGGAGGGCAAGCTGAGAGGGGAGGGAGGGGGTGACGAACTTGGTTTGGCCTTCGACTGGCGCGTGATGCGGTCGCTTGGCGTGGGTAACGAGACGCCACCCATCGATTTGGAAGCGACCACTGGCAATGTGACGGCGCTGCAGCCGGGCAAGGCCGACATCATGGCTCTCGACCCCCGCGTGCATCTGGACGAGAGCGATGGGGAGGAGGTGCTGGCCGAGAGCCCCAGGGGCCGGGTGGAGGTGTATGAGCCGCAGTCGATGGATGTGGTCATGACACACCTGCCCATCCCGCAAGACATCCTCAAGACGACCGGCCTCCTCGCCGACTACGACACGCGCCTGTGGGGGTACCTTGCGAGGCAGGAGGGGGGCAGGGAGGACCACCTGCCACTGGCGTACCCCCTCACGTCGCCCGTGCTCGACGAGTGGATCGAGGGCTACTTCGCCGCCAACATCACAGAGGGGAGGAGCCCTCTGCTCGGGGGTCTGCCGCCTCGTCGACTGCCTCGGCTGGAGGAAGAGGAGAACACATCGTTTTCTGCGTCGGATGGGAGGCTGCGGCTGATCCGGGGGAGCTACTATCTGCTGTGGGTGCGGCTGTGGGGGGTCGATCGAGACGGCGAGGGGGTGAACCTCTACGTGCCACAGAACTATCACTTTGACTACGACCTTACCGTGGGCCATCCGGTGGATGTGGACCAGCCGCCGCCACTGGAGGTCTTGGCTGCCGCTCCCAACAAGGCCTGGCTGTTGGTGCATGCCTTCGGCAATGAGGAGCTCGCCCTGGACTTCCGGTTCACTCACCTCACCAACATGTTCAGATACGCCGCAGCCCCCATCCCTTCACACCCTCCCTTCCCCCCACTGGCCTGCCGCCGCCACCTGCGGATTCTTGAGCCTGCCTCGGCGTCCATCCCGGCGCGAGTCACGCCTATCTCGCCCATCCCCCTGCCGCCAGAGGTCCTCCTGCCACCCGAACACAGCCTCCGGGCCGACCTGGACCACATTGATGCCAATGGGGGCTACGACGTCCACACGACGTGCCAGGACATGAGGGGCGTCCGCAATGTGGAGGACGTCTGTCAGGTCGACATCGATACGTCGAGGGGCGACGCTTTCAGCGCGAAGCTGTCGATCCGGGCTGACACTAGGGAGGGCGTGTGCTATGTGCGGGTGACCGTGAGGACGGGAAGCGGTGAGGAGGGAGCGAAGGGCGTCTATGTGGCGTCGCAGCGGCGGTTTGAGACTTTCCGTTTGGCTGTGATGGTCAAGAAGATCGAGGGCGTGCATATCACTGTGCCGTCTCCATTGCTGAGGATCAACCGATCCACCATTGTATGCCAATATATCCCACCCCCTACACACATACAAACCTGCCTTTTTTCATCTTTATGTGTGTATCGTATCGATGTGATTTCTGTCTGTCTGCAGGCCACTGTGTATGGCTATGTGGGCGTCCCCACTTGGGCCGCCCTCCTCGCCACCAAGCGGACTCTCCAGTCCTTCCCCGCCACGCTCCCCCCGCCCCGTCCATCGTGGCCCGGCACCTACACCGACAGCTACTTCTACCACTACTTCGACCCCGCCTTCATCATCGAGGACGCCACCTACCCCGATATGACGGTGCGGCGACTGGTGCACTTCTACGAGGCAATTGGGTATGCCTTTGTGCCCATATTCGAGAGGGATGGCGAGATGAGCGGCACCCACTACTTTCTGGCCGCCAAGGGACAGCTCATACTCACACACATGGGGGACGAAGGCAGGAAGACGGTGAGAGTGAATGACATAGATCGATCAGCACCTACCTGGCTTGGTGTGTGTGGATGGTAAAGTAGATGGTGGTTGTGCATCCATCGGTGTCTGTCTTGGTCAGGTCGCTGCCTTTGCCGATCGGTATGGTCGCGTCAATGCGTCGCACATCGAGAGCCAAGACCTCCCGGAGCACCTGCAGTCCCGCCCCGAGGCATTCGTCAACATCACCTCCCACACTCTGGGCGACGTCATGCTGGAAGGCTCACTGATCTCTCCCGCCCCTGACCCTTCACGCTACCTCGCCCCACGGCCAGTCTTTTCCAAACAGGACATGCGCATCTACGACAGAACCGACGCCAGATTCCGCCTGCAGGACTTCGTCACTCTGCCCTTGCACAACGTGAGATGGGCGTTAGGGGATGGCGCCGCGGTCAATGAGACAGAGGAGATTGGGACGTCTGTGGCGGAGTATTTGGGGGAGAGAGTGGGGGTTGAGACGGCTGTGACGGACACCATGCTGCTGACCTCGCCCCTCTTCACCAAGGTGGCCGCTGGTGGGTCTTCGCCACGCTTGAAGGCGCTGGGGAGGCTCGTTATGTTCGCTATGGGAGAGGATGAGGGGGCCGGTGCCGGGCCACCGCCACTGACAGGTGGTCTTGCGACGTTCGCCACGCTTCTGTTGTGCCGTGTGCAGCAGCTGGACCATGCCGCCACGCCGCGGCCATTCTACCGGGGGTACAGCCTGGTCGACCTCGACCTTCCCCCGCCCCCCACAGCACCCTCTGTTGTCCCATCTCTGCCGCCTCCACCCTCACGCACCTCTCTTGATGACACATCGGTGGCCGTCGCCCTGTCCCTTCTCCGCACCCAAGTGCGCATGATCGGTGTCGGCGACAGCCTCACGGTACCCGTGTTGGGCGGCCCACCGTCGCACCCATCTTTCAGGCGAAAGATCCGCGTGGCCGCCAACACATCGGTGGCCGCGGTGCCGCCCCTGTCTAGCGAGAAGGAGCGGCTGCAGCACCCGTTGGCTGTGGAGGTGCTGGCCAATGTGAGCGATGAGGTTGTCCGGTGCGGCAATGAGCACAGGCGGAGTGACCTTTGCGTGATGTCCACCAAGAGGATAGGCGAGATGCTGCGGACGGAGGTGGTGGCCGAGATGCCGCCAGGCGACGATGGGGACGTGGTGGTCAAGGTCACCTGCAAGCAGGAAGCAGAGGTGGTTGAGGTCGATATCGACGTCATCGCTGAAGCGCTGCCGAACGCTCCTGGACCGCCCATGTGAATGACCCACAGAATCTTATATATATTTCCAACCTAGCATGCCTTAAGATAGGATGTTCATTCATTTACCCGCTGTCTGTGTGCAATTAATTGTCTTGTCTTGTCAGCACTCCGCGCGAGGTGTCCGAGCGCGGCCGTCTGGTGGTTGGGTGCTCCTTCCCAGTGGGCATGGAGGTCTACCACTACCCATACACACTGCTCACCAACGCGTCACACGCAGCCGCCAACAGACGGTCGCTCGCCAGAGGCATCGCAGAGGGCGGGGTGCGGCAGTGTGCGGCCAGGCGAGACGCGGTGGTGGTGGGGAGGGGGGTGGTGCTCGATTGCGGCGACGACAGGCCCTTCCCCTTCGTCCTGGTGCCATTCGACAAATACGGGTGAGCTGAGCTGGAGGCAGCAAGACGTATGGAGGTGCATTCGTGTGTGGGTGCTCGTCTCGTGGTTGGTGCGGTGCAGGTACGGCATTGCCAACATATCCTCTCACAGCCCCCACTGGACCTTCGACACTCTCCAAGCGCCCCCCACCCACCCCCACCCATCCCTGGCAGCAGCAGCCCCCGCACCAGCACCGTCCCTGCCCCAAACCTTCCCAACCACTTCAAACGTGACCATCGACATCGACCCCCTTGCCGGCGTCCACATCGACCGCGGCAACGAGGGAGAGTGCTTCATCGGACAGCTGTTCCCACGCCCTTCGCCGTTCTACACCTACCCCCCTCTCTCCTCCGTCTGTCCATTCGCCAATCGCCGCGACACAGACGGGCGGCGCGAGGATCCCACCGCCTTCGGGCTGCAGGGGAGGTACGACGGCGGGGCCAGCTCACGCGTGCCAGTGGAGATCCAGCCGCCCTTCCGGCTCGTGTCGCCATCTGACCGGCGGCTGGTGCTGCTGCCCCGCAACCACACATACGAGATAGAGCTGCAGCTCGAAGTCAACCTTGACAAGCTCCAACGGATACTCCAGCGGCAGGCGCCGGCAAACATGACCAAACCCCGCACGCCGCGGTTCCGGCTGGTCGTCATCACCAATGCGACCGACGTTGCCTACGCAGAGGCGCTGGTCGACCCTGTGTGGTTCTCTCTGGGCGGTGCTGTGGGCAGGGGGAAGCCCCTGACGCTCCCTGATAGACGCGTGGACGTTGCTCTGGTGGGCGCGCGGCCATCTGTGAGGCAGCGGGGGACGCTACGCCACGATTACGACTTCGGCGTGAGTGTGGCTGCGGGTGGGGGGGATAGGGTGAGGCTGCAGTACATCGTGGGTGTGCGGAGCGACGGCATCGGCGTGGCGGCCATCGATGTGCGCGTCGAGCCCGCACTGGAGGAAGACCAGGACGGAACCATAGTGGATAGCAATCGCATGAGCCCAGTCGACTGCCGGCCGAGCGAGATGCGTCATCTCCATGAAGACGATCTGCACTATCTGGTCTACTTCCCCTTCTGCGCCTCCCAGCTGCGGTTCGAGGTGATGGTAGACACACCGGGAGGCGTGGTGGTGCAGGAGACGAAGCCCACTGGCCAGGGGGGACGGGCCATCTCTCTGCCGCATTTCTTTGAGGTAGATCTGATGGAGGGCAAGCGCAAGGTGCTGACGGCCTCGCTCGTCACGCGGCAGGGCTACCCCTACACCATCGGGCATCTCCCGCTGCCCCTCGGCAACGTGCACTCGTCGCAGGGCAACACGTCCATCCCTGTCCCCCACACCTCTCCCCTCTGCCACTACCAGTGGACCATCGCGGCTCCCCAGCATCTGCAATTCGACAAACCCCCACCGCCTCTCAACGCGTCGCTCCCCCTCAGCGCAGCCATTCTCACGCCCTCCTTCTACAGCACACCGACCAGCAAAGGCACCGCCGGCAACAGCAACGTATCACGCGTGTCGGTGGGGGGAGTCGGTCTGGTTGCTGTGCCGGTGATTGGTCGCCAGCCGGGGCGCAGCGCAGTGCAGGTGGAGGCCATCTGTGCGTCGTCTATCGGCCGCTTGGTCCGGTATTTCAGCGATGAGAGTGCGGCTCGCCGGGCTATCGGCCGGGGTATGGGTGAGGGAGAGGGTGAGCTGGGTGGAGATGACAAGGACAGCATCCTGGGCGCCATGGCCGTGGGCGAGGCCATGCGGGACATCGTACTACCAAAGGTGAGTGGGCTGGGAGACAGTCTGAGAGGCAGCCCAGCACCAACCATGTGTTTAATTGTGCCTACCTACACTCGTGTGTGTGATGGGGGTGTGTTGTGTGCAGCGTTACGTGAGTGCGGGAGAAGTGGAGGTGTTGCTGGTGCCCCCCATCCCCCGCCCAATGAGCCCCTCCGACCATCGCCACCCGGGCCGCCAGCAGGACAGAGAGTACCACGTCACCGTCCCGCCCTCATCCCAGATCTCCATCTTCCTCGAGTCATTCGCATACATGCATCCCTACACATACCACTTTACAGCGCGAGCAGGCGGCGACTTCAACCTCTCTCTCGTCGAGAAGCACCGCCCCAACGCCTTCCTCGCCGGCAACAGCCACATTCCCGCCGACCCGGAGGCAGCCGAGGCGGTCACGGCCTTTTGCGACACACTGCAGGAGAAGATTGCCCTGCTGTGGGACGCAAATCGGACACACACCAGCCACACACACCATGGCAAGGTGGTGAACATGGTGCTAGAGTGGTCCGACAGATGGGAGGGCATCGCGACAACTGACCAGCAGGCCGTGGTCGAGTGGCTGCTGCGTGACGAGACGCTGGTCGAGAGGAGCCGTGCGGTGCAATCGGTGTACCAGCGGCTGTACAGGGTGGAGGACGATTCACACGGCTCCTACGTCAGCGACCCGAGAGTGCGGGTGGCGCTGCATGTCAAGGTGGAGGCGGACACGCCCGAAGTTCGGAGGGGCCGGGGCGGTGGACAGCACCGTGGCATCACTCTACGGCTACAGACGAGTGTGAAGCTGCACCTCATGTTCACCACAAAGGCCATGAACGGCGGCAAGGGACGAGCGCCGCTCGCACTGGAAACGCCACAGCTGGAGGTCTGAACACAGGCCATACAGACACCCATCCACCGATTGTATTTCAGCTGCCTGTGGTATGTATCTGTCTGTCTGTCAGCGTTTGTTTTGGGTCAAGTTGGCGCCCATCGGTGGTGTGGAGATGACGCCCCGGTACCGGTTCATCCGCCCACACCGTTTGGCGTCCCACCCCAGCCCCACACACGTCACCCTCGACGACCGGCCCCTCAAGATGTGGCATCAGCCCTTCACCCTCGTCGCACCGGCAGTCGACAACCCCGCGGCGTCGCTGCCTCTGCTCACGCTGCAGCTGCCCGTGTACCTCGGTGAAGACGCAGAAAGATGGAGCGGTAGTACCAATTTCTGGGGCGACGAGTATTGGGGCGGGCTGCAGTGGTATCGTTTGCGGCTTGTCGACCCGCGGGGGCAGCATCTGGAGCCGCCCATGAGCTCAAGGCTGGGCATCACTTCAAGCCACCCATCTGTCCTCGCCGTCACGGCCATTCACCAGTACGGACGCAAATGTATAAGGGAGAAAAGCGCGGAGGACGCTCATTCATTTATGTCTTGTGTCTGTCTGTCTGTTGCTGCACTCCACTGCAGAGAGGAGGGAGAGTTTTCCATCGGCGTGGAGGCCCGCAGCCAGGGATGCGCCAGCCTGGTGGTGCACCTCACACCGTCACCCACCACAACAACGACAATCCAGCCACACGTCCCCTCGGCAACCCACCTGTCCCTCGACGCGCCATTCAACCCCAAGTTCTTAGACGTCCTCAGAGTCTGTGTGGGCGCACCAATGCACCCGGATGACATCTACTTCCATCCACTCGACCCACCACCAGCCGTGCATCCTCGAGAACCAGCTGCTGCTGCCGAGGACGTGAAAACGCGACAGGACGGCCGGGAAGAGACGGAGGTGGATCGTGGTGAATGGGGAGCACGCCGATACGAGAGGAGGGAGCGGCTGCCGCGGGCGGCTGGGTGGATGGTGTGGGCCCATGAGAAGGCGGCGGCAGGGATGGAGTGGGCGTGCGACGCCGCTACCGGACGGGTGAGCCTGGATGTCGGCCACACGAAGAACCTGACATCATCAGCGACGCATAAGCCGAACGCGACAAGAGATGCGCAAGGTGCTACGATCCAATTATCCTGCGAGTCGTCCTACTTCGGCTTCGCCGTCTACTGGTGCCTCTACATGGTCTTCATGCTGCCGCTCTTTGCCGTGATCGTCCTGGCCCTGCTCGCCCTCTCGCTCTGCTGCCCCTTCCTCAACATACCCCTCATCATCCAGGCCCTCCTCACAGCAACCGGCCGCATCATCGGCGCGGTGATCAGCAGCGTGAGCACTGCCGGGAGTGGCGCGTATCGCTCCATCGAGAGGGCCGTTCTCTCCCTCACACGACGGGCGGCGGGGCAGGAGCCGGTGCGGACCTGGCGGAGGGATGACATGAAGGAGACCGACCAGACTCCGGCAACCGACCCGTATTCCACTAGATGGGAGAGGAGCACCCCCGGGTACGTCCCACGTTCGCCCTTGCCGCCCCAGCCACCGCCCACCATACACCCCATCACCAGCCGATCGCCACCCCCAATGTTTGGGTCCACCGGCGACCTTCGGCACAGGAGGTCGCAGGCAGCGAGCGTGCCGCCCACAATGACGGATCGGGGGAGGGGGAGCAGGCTGCCACCGCCGGGAGGGGCACCAGCTGCTGCTGCTGCGTCGGCGGCGGGGGAAGACAGAGGGGGAGGTGGTGCTGCTGATGCACCGGCTGCTGCTGCTGCTGCCGCTGCTGCTGTTGGTTATGGCGACATGTACCACCATGGCGGCGGCCTTTTCTGATGTGACTCTGTACTGTGTTGTGTTGTGCTGTGCAGCCTGGGTTCATTCAAAGTTTTCCTGCACCGTGTGTATCCATCCGTGTGGAGCTAGCTGCCTATTGGCAGAGCTTAAGATTGCGTGGGTGTTTCTTCTTTATTTCAGCTATGGTGCAACCCCCCGGCCCCCGACACTTGACTGCATGATAACAAAGATGTTGCTCTCTTGGGCGTGTGTACAGTCTCGGGGGCCACACATACAGAAGACATTTTCCGTGTGCGTGCACGTGATGTGGATGTGCCTTTGTGTGCCTTTGTGTGCCTTCGTGTCTTGTCTGTGTGTGTTGGATTGGACGGACGTGTCTGTGGACAGGAACACACCTTCCTTTGGACCTTTTGCATACTTGTTCGCTCGTTCGTTCAATGGGCTTTATCGACATTCACTCACACAAATGCATCTGTCTGTCACTCACACGCGCAAACATGCACACGCACACGCACACGTGTCTATCGGCCTATTAGCTGGCTGGCTGACCAGCGCGAATTTATGCACCCACCCATGCCCCGCCCCCTCCCCCCGTCCCTGCAGGCCTTTCCCATCCTTCCGTCCGTGCATTCCTGCCTGCGTCGGATCAGACGGATGCCGGCACATCCTTGGCCAGCGCTTTCCTCTTGAGCCACAGGAGTGCGGTGACGAGGTCCTTCCGCTCGGTGGCGCTGTTGCAGCGGAACACGATGCAGCTGCCGCTCTTGTCGATGTGCAGAGCCAGACAACTATATAGATACCGCACACACGCACAGGAGAGAGCATTGATAACATCCTTTCGGCATTTTGAATATATAGGCGTGGTCGCCACCGTTCGTTTCACTCACCTGGGGTCGTCTATGATGGTAGCTTTGGTCTCTACCCTCTTGAGCTGACCCGGCTCGCTCAGCACATCGCGGATGTCGCGCAACATCACCTTGCGGGACTTGTCCTGTGTGCGCAGGTATGTGTGTACGTCCACACCCACACCCACACCCACACACGCACCCCATGCATCCATTTATGCATCTACCTCGCTCTGTATGGTCATGAAGTCATGCGATGGGTCCAGCTTGATTTCGCATACTAAGGCGCTGCCGTCCTGCACACACAATACACAACACACAACACAGGGAAGGGAGAGGGGTCCATCCATCCAAAGCTTTGGATGGATGAATGGAGGGATGGATTCTTCCCTCCCTCTTGGCACGCACCCACCTGCAGAACTGCACTGACGAAGACGCCCTTCTGCATCTGGTAGACGAACGGCTGCAGCTCACCACGGGCGCTCTCGGATGCCGGCGCGTAATCACCAACCAACCCTGCAGCACAGCATACACAGCGCACACATCCATCCATCCATCCAGTGTCGGCCATGCATCCATCCATACGTAAGTACCTTCAGTGGAGATCTCTGCTGGCGGGGCCTTGGCGTGTCGTGCCGGCTCGGCGAAGCAGCAGAGCATCCCCCGGCGGCAGGGGGAGTCATTGGATGGGCACCAGGATGATAACGTCGACGACACTATCTGACCCATGCGATGTTCTAATCTAGCTACTGTAGTCAATCCGCCTCGCCGGCTACTGTAATCAATCTCGACGGCAGGGAGATCGCGAAATTTTCTGCCGGCGAGGTCCCTTCCGGGCTAGATTCGCGCGCGAGAACTGACAATCTGCACACCTCTGCGACCCACAGATACCATGGTCGGTATATGCGATGAACCACCGCCACCTCCACACACACGCGTCTGTCTGTACGTCTGGCCGGCTCTTTGGCTGTTTGGGTACATATCTGGCTACTCAAGTCATGCGACAGCCCTTTTCTTGGCCATGGCAGCGATGGAGATGGCGAAGGCGTCTAGTCTTGTGAGGGGGTGTCTGAAGTCGAGGCTGAAGACGTCCTTGGAGATCTTGCCGAACATGAGCATGATGTCGTTCTGGTCACCCTTGCGCACCAGCTGGAAGTTCTTGGCAGACGCCAACTTGACCCGCCCGTAGAAGGGCAGCGCGTAAGAGTTGAGCGCCGGGTCCCACTTGGGCGCGATGTTCTCCATCTCGCAGTGCTCTCCTACACACATGCAAAGCAGGCGACAGATAGAGATGGCATTCATTGATGGGGTGCTATCTATGTTATCTATCTGCGTGCAGTGCTCGCTGACTGGCTGACCATCTCTGTCCAGCGTGACCATGATGTGCCTGGGGCAGTCGCCGAGAATGTTGGTGTCGAACTTGACGTCCAACTGCCACAGTGAAGGAAGGCAATGCACCCATCCCACCCAATCCACACACAGATAGATACATACATCATCGGTGTTGGCCCACTCGCTGGCCTCGCCTCGCTTCCCTCGTATGTATCTGCGGGGGTAGCGTACGTACCAGCTTTTTCCTCTCGGGCATGGGCAGCTGCTTGCCGAGGCGGTCCTTCTTGAGGTACAGCGGGACGCCCCAGTCGTGCACCACAAACGACGTGCCCCAAAAGTTGGGCTCTACCATACCCACATAATGCGCATCAAACGCCTCGCAACAACCCTACACACGCACACACGCCCGAGGCCCATCAACGCCTGACTGAACATGTGTGTGTGTGTATGTTGTGTTGTGTTGTGTTGGCTGCTGACCTCTTTGTCGAAGATCCTGACGTCCGAGTGTTCGTCCCTGACTGTCGCCCACAGGACGGGCTCCTTGTCGCTGTCGTTGCGCAGCACATAGTGGTGCGGGAAGCCGCCATAGTCCTGCCGGGTGCGGTTGATCTGACACAACAAATACCTACAAACACGCACGACACACACACACACAAAACCATACCATGGCACACACAGCAGGAAGTCACATACATATCTTTCAGTGTGTCTGTCTGCCTCACTGACATACCCCGAGTGTGGTTTGAGCAGGGCTTTTTTCCTAATGGCGTCTTGCTCGACGACGGTGCGAAAGACAGACATGGGCGTCCTGATGCCGCGATAGCTCAGCCCGCCCTCCAGCAGCCTGGTGCCGCTCGCGCCAGGCACGGTGGTGCCGGTGCTGCCGGTGGTGCCGCTGCCGCTGCTGCTGCTGCTGGTGGTGGTGGTGGGTAGTGTCATGGCGCTCCACGCTGAGGGCACCTTGTGCGAACAGATGAGGTCCTTGAGGTACCAGTAACACCTGACATACCATACATCGGCACGACAGACAGACAGACAGACAGGGAGGGAGGGAGGGAGGGAGGCAGCAGAGTGGGTGTGTGCTCTTCTCTTGGCTGTGTGCAGTGTGGCTGCGTGGCGTGCCTTTCGAGCAGGTCGGCGTCGTCATATTTGAATGCGAGCCATGTGGCCACGGCCACCGTGTCGGCAGACAGGGTGCGGCAGATCTCCTCACGACAGGCCTCAGCCATGTCCTCCTGACACACGCCAGCCAGCACACAACAAACCACCACACCACAACAAATGGATGACCCCGATTGGATCTTGCAAGAGCCAGCTTATTTGTGTTCCTCTCCCTCCCTCACCAGTCCGAGCAGCTTTGCGGCACTGAACACTGCGAAGAGCCCAATGCCACTGAAGCTCTGCGGATTGAAGGCCTGTTGGTCGACGTCGAGCAGGCTCTCGACGCATCCCCACACCCCGTCGACCGTGAGGAAGGACTTGCGCCCCCGTATCTTGATCTCCAGGGGCGTCTCGCCGCGCCGCACACTCTCGAGCTCGTCCAGCTCTTTCCTCAGGAACCTGCTGCGGCGCAGCACGTGAGGCCGCACCACGGCCGACGAGCTCATGCTGTAGACGTCCATCGTGATCTCCGTACCGGGCGGGTTGGCCTCGTCCCTCCCGCTGTCATCGAAGTTGCTCCTCCTCGTTGCCGCATCACCACCCGATGCTGCATGTCCGTGTGAATCGGTGGCGGTCGACTCGCCCGCCGGACCGCCTCCCTTGCCCGCCCTTGGAAAAATGTGTGTGACGACCAGAGTGATGTGGCCCTCGGCATCGCTGTCGTCGGTGAGCGGCTCGTCATGCGTGGCCGGTAGTACATCAGCAGCTAGATCAGCCATGCCGTTGACTGCGGTTGGAGCAGCCGCATGCACCTCATAGCCGAGGTCAGTGCTGCTGGCATGAGGGGACGGTGAGGGTGAGGGTGAAGGGGACTGAGAGGGGTGGTGGTGGGAAGGGGACGGGGGAGAGGGGACGGGATCAGCTGCGGCGGAAGGCTGCTCATGCTCGTGATAATAGGGCACACTGCCGACCTCATACTGCTGGTACTGTTGCGTGTGCCAGTGGGAGGGATCTGACTCATAGGCTGCCTGCGCGGGGTAATCGTAGTGTGCTGCTGACCTTTGACGAGTTCCGTCATAGCTGCCATAGCCGTGGCCGGGAGGCCTCTGCGCCGCGTCGGCGTATGCATGGCCGTCGTATTGGTAGGCCTGCTCGTAAGCCCGATACTGCTGCTGCTGCTGATAGTGTGCTGATGCGTGTGTGGCGGATGTGCCGTCATGTTCGTAAGTCAGCTGCGGCTGCCACGCGGCTGCTGCGGATGATGCTGCTTCCGTGGTTGATGGATCTTCGGCGTAAGCCGGTCCTTCGTCTGGCTGCATCATTGTGCAGTCCTTTCCTGGGTCGACTGTCACCCTTCCCTTCACATTTGGGGGTGAAGGCGAGCTTAGAATGGGCAAGCTCGCAGAAAGAGTTGCAGGAGCTATCACTGTGCAGAGTATCTGCGATGCGTGTGCTTGTCTGTGCCACAGAGATCCGTGCCGAAGCAGATCTCTCTGTTAGTGCATGATCCACGACAGCACTGACATCATCAGCTGAGCGGCTCCTGCTCTGACGATGGCTCTTCTCGCCTCCTATGATCCATCCTGGCTTGCCGGCAGCTCTGCCTGCCTCCGTCTGATCATCGCTGTCGCCTGGCTTGCGAGTGAAGCGCTCGGCGGGGCGCTATCTGACGTGGCTTTCATCGGCTCGACGCCATTCCGGCCGCAGCACGCACAGCGGATTCGCCTGTCTACGCGTCGCACCCTGTTCAAGAAGGATGCGCCCGAGCCGACGGACAAGAGCGGCGGGCAGCCACAGTCTTTCATCGACTCGCTGAGGGATCTGGCTGGCACCACCCAGGGCGGGCCGCCACCCACCAGACAGACCAAGCAACAGGAGCCTTTGACAACCAACTGGCTGGATGGGCTGATCGGCAAGAGGAAAGACGAGCCAGCCACAACCAGGCCGTCACCCCCACAGACGGATCCTCTCGCTTCGATAAGGCAGCGGCTAGGTCTGGACGGCGAGACGAGCGGTGCGTCCTCCCCCCCTGTGTCTGTGTCCCCTCCCCCCTCCCCCTCCCCCCCTCGCCCCCTCTTGCAAGTGGAGGTGATGAACCGGACGCTTTCGGTGCCTGCCCCTGATGTGCGCTCGCTGCCGTGGGGCGGCATCGGGTCCTTTGTGGGCGGGGCTGTGTCTGGAGTCATCTTGACGTTTGGGCTGCTGCTGGCGCCGGTGCAGATGATCGACGAGCCCGTGAGACGGTCTGTGGCGCTCTTCGAGACCATCCTGACGGATGTGGAGAGAGGTGGGCTGGGCGGCACCAGACACTTGGGTGCGTGCCGTGCGGTGGGTGGCGTCGAGTGATTATGGTTGTTTGGTACCTAATGATTGTTCATTCAGGTTACGTTGAGAAGGTCGACACTGAGAAGCTGTTCAACACGGCCGTGACGGCCATGCTGAGGAGCCTTGACCCATACACAGAGTTTGAAAACCTGCAGGTCACCACACCACAGCCTCCATCCATCCATCCGAACGGAATGTGTCACTCTGTCGGTATCCCTCGGCCTTGGTTTTTATTTGCAGGCAGCGTCAGATCTTCGTGAGAATGTCGCAGGCCGCTACGGCGGTGTGGGTCTCGTCATTGCCGTCGACAGAAACCCGCCACAAAGGGTACGTACGACCACCAACCGCACACACACACACACAAGAGGCATGTTCGCCCATTCCCTTCACTTACAGGTGATCGACACGGCCACCAAGGAGATCGACCTCATCCTCGAGGCCGAGAAGCCAAAGGCAGACAGCATCGGCCCGATGGCCTCCACCCTCCGCCCCTTCACGGCGTCGGCCGAGCCCATCCCCCAACGCATCGCCCCCTCACCCTCCCCACCCTCCCCATCCCCGCCAACATCCCCATCCCAGCGAACCTCCTTCCCGCAGCGCGGCAAGGACCCGACGGGCATCATAGTCATGGGTGCGTTCGAGGGCTATGCCTTCGACGCTGGCATGAGGGTGGGCGACCATCTGGTGGAGGTCGAGGGCAGACCCGTGGCTAATCTCTCGCCTGAGGAAGGTATCTATCGTAGAATGAATGAGGGGTGGTGGACGTATGAACAGACGGGGCCCACAGGAGATTTGGGTGGGTTGGTGGGGTTGTGGTGTGTGTGCACTGCAGTCAAAAACATGCTAAGGGGCCCGCCTGACTCGCAAGTCAACGTGGCCTTCATCAGGGATGGCGTCGACGGACTGCAATCGGTGAGAAGAAAGACAGACGGGCAGTGAGTGGAGTTCAGTGCACGGATCGTCATGCCATTCCGCTTCGTGTGCATGAGAGTGCGCCACGCTTTGGTTTGTATCTATCCTTCTTTCTTCAGGTGACGCTCACGCGTCGGCTGGTCCGCGTCCCTAATGTGAAGCTCTTCCAATATCTCGGCAGCAGAGACGATGGAATCGGTAACTAACCAACCGAGGGAGTACCACCAGCCCAGCCCATCCCTCTGTCTGTCTGTCTGTCTGCCTGTCGTGTCGTGCGTGTGCAGGTTACATCCAGCTCAGTGGCTTCTCAGCCTCATCATTCGCCGTCAGCTTGGATTGCACAACAAACCGATCCCCCCGTCCACTCACTCCTCCATGCACACAATACATACATACGCGACACCGAGTTGACTGAGTTCCTTGTGTGTGTCCTGGCCTGGCCTGGTTGGGTGGGTGCAGGAGATGCGTGTGGCGCTGCGTTGGCTGCAGCAGAACGCCCCGCGAGCCGGCCTGGACGGGGTGGTGCTGGACCTGCGGGGCAACCCTGGCGGCCTCCTCAACTCGGCCGTCGACATCGCTTCACTGTTCGTACCCAAAGTGAGCTCACAGCCAACAAACACACAAAGACAGACGGACTGACACGTTAATGAGTGGGTCGATGGATGCGTGTATGTATGTATCTGTGACACACATAGGGGTCGGAGATAGTGAGCGCACAGGGGCGATCGTTCGTGCGAGTGGCCTACAAGTGAGTGAGAACGACCAACACAACACGCCCACACACACACACACGAGGTTGGTTCATCGTTCCGTGTGTGTGTATGGTGTGAGCCACCAGGAGTACGACCGAGCCCGTGTTGGACCCGAGCGTCAAGTTGGTTCTTCTGACGAATGAAGCCACCGCATCTGCAGCTGAGATTGTATCGGGCGCCATACAGGTAGGTCAGTGGGGGATAGATACATACATCGATGCGATCGATGCCCAGGCAGGCAGGCAGGCACACGTACGTAGTCGCATGGCCGGCCAGCCCATTCATTCGTCTCATTTTCAGGACCTGGACTGTGGCGTCATCGTCGGCACAGGAAGGTGAGTGAGCCAGTAACTAAGCGGATCACGCCATCCATCCATACATGCCATGCGTGTGTGTGTGGCTGCTGCAGGACGTTCGGCAAGGGTCTGGTCCAGAACGTCGAGGCCCTTCCCTTCGACACCGCTCTCAAATATACCGTCGCAAAGTCAGCCAGCCATCGCAGAAGAGAGAGAGAGCAACACGCACCTTCTTCCCCCCCTCTCTGCATGCCTGCGTGCAGGTATTACACGCCCAGCGGTCGGTGCATCCAGAGCGTCAAGTACTCGGAGGGCGGCGTCAACATGGCCGACGCCTCAACCACGACCCCCAACGAAGACACCCAGGGCACACCCACGGCCCCGCAGGAGACCATTAATGGGCCATCGACGACCGACCCACAGTCACGGAGGAACGGACGGAGGAAAACTGACGACAGCGACCTCAGGTGTGTGACACACATGTGTGTGTCGACAGACAGATGCACAGGGCATATGCTTTCATTCATGTCCATCTCTCTCTCTCTCTCTCTGTGTGTGTGTGTGTGTGTAGGTATCTGTCTGACGAGATATCCGAGAGCGAGAGGAAGGTGTTCAAGACGCGTGGGGGTCGGTACGTGCGCGACGGTGGCGGCATCGAGGCCGACGTAAAGGTCAACCTGCCCAAGACCTCTCCTCTCGAGATCACACTCATCTCACAGGTATGTACCCCCAAACGCTTCTTCCTCTTGTCTGTGTGGGTGCGTGGGTTGGGAAGGAACACCGACACACGTGTGTGTCCCTCCCGAGTCCTGTGTTTGTGTATCTATCAGGGAGCTATGTTCGACTATGCGGCTGAGTGGTCCAAATTCAATGAGGTGGGTGGGCAGGTGCGTGGGAGACGAACCACACCGGACAGACTCTCACACAGGCATCATATCTGTGCCCATTGCACTGCACTGTTTGCAGTATCGTGGTGAGATCGACAGCCAGATTGACGACATCTACGACGCTTTCCAAGGGTACCTACCCGACAAACATCCCTCGATGGATGGACACACATCATGCAGACAGACGAGTATCCTTCCATTATGCCTGCCCTGCGTCTTCATATATGGTCACAGGTGGGTGTTGGAGCGCGTCAAGAGCGGCAAGATCAAACTCGACACTCTCTACGCATCGCAACTGAACGACCTAGGTGAGAGAGCGCGGCCAAGGCACACCACCTCACCCCATGTGTGTGTGTGTGTATGGGGATCCGATCCGGCCTGCCTCCCTGTGTCTCTTGTGTGTGAGCAGGTACGTTGCTGAAGGAGTTGGACCGCAGCGACCAGTCGTATACAAAGGCGGTCGAAAAGGGAATACAACAACTTAGGTCACATAGACATATATACATACACGCCCCAGTGCAGGCAGGCAGGACAGCATATGATATATGGCGTCTTTGACTGACTGGCTGCAGGGAGGACTTGGCCAAGGAGATCAAGAATGACTTTGTCCGCAACGCAAAGGAACTCAAACTCGACCTCGCAGACGCCATCAAACAAAGGTAATCAATCACCCGCAACCACAACCACAACCACAACCACCTCCAGATCCAGACAGCCACCCACCTGGTGTTGATGCGTCCCTCCCTCCCTCTGTCCCTCCCTGTGTGCAGGTATCTGCCCGACACCCTCCGCCTCTCCCAGAACCTGCAGTACGACCCCATGGTGGCCACGGCCATCAAGCTGCTGCAGAACAACGACCAGTACCAGGCCGTACTCACCCCCAGGACCGCACAGCGATCCCTCAAGGCAGACGCATCAGCACAGACACCAGCAGCACAGGACACAGCATTATCACAGACACCGACAGCTGAGAGGCGGCCGCTGAGGCAGCTGATCCTCGGCCTGTCCGAGCGTGTGTGGGGAAGGAGTGGAGGAGCGGATGTGTTCCCGGCCGAGGCAGGGAGCGGCATGCGGCTGCCAGCGTTGTCACCAAGTCTCCCTGGAGGGCGGCAAGTGCTGGAGCAGACGAGCTTTGTGCTCGCGGATGCAGACCGATAGCAGACAGTCACTCTTAAGAAGACAGACTGATGGAACGAATGGGTGGGCGGAGGGAAATCTAAGGGTGTCGATAGCAATATGTATGTATCTTGCCGGGCCGGCTGGGTCACCGGTGGGTTGACATGGACGATTGCTGCAGATCAGATGAGAAAGGTCAGAGAGGGACAGCGAAGTGCTCGCACATTGGTTTATCTGTGTAAGGGTGGGTGGGTGGGTGGGTGGGTGCTGGGTCTCTTTTGGCATTCGTCTCGCTGGTATCGTGTTGGGCCTGGGGGGGCAGGGGTGTACAATGACTAAATGGGTGTGGCTGGCACGTGTTTGAGGCATACATACTAGCTACAGGAGGATGAGAGTGCCTGCCATTCGTCTTCATCGACTGACTGACCCGCTGAGGGGGACCTAGTGCCTGTCCTGTGGATAGACAGTGGTGGTTTTGGCCGACCCGACCCACGCGTGACTGACTGTATTACATACATACATACATACTTGGTCATGTGTACAGACGAGAAGCTGTGTTGTCTTGTGTGCGGCATTGCATTGCATTGCATTGCATTGCACCGATTTTGACCGACTCACTCGCTCACTCCCTCACTCCGGTTCATTTGGGATTTTTGCCGCCTATCTACCTTGCTGACGTACGTATCTATCTGTGTGTAGAGGGAGGGGTCACCTGTCTCTGTTTGGGGACCTTGCAGGCAGGCAGGCTGGCAGGCTGGCTGGTGCCCTCACCCACCCACCAATCCGTCCACTGGCTGACTAACTCCTTCTGTAGCATAGCAACCGTAGCTCGGCTGACCGACCGATGGCGAGAGCTGTCCAGGCCTTCACCGACACACAGAGAAGAGAGAGAGAGGGGCGTAGGGGCAGTGGATGGATGGAGTTGGGGACGACTGTCTGTGTGTGTGTGTGTGTGTGTTTGTGTATCAATGTGTCATGGTGGATGTGCCTGTGTGGTGGAGCGTGCAATGGCCGCAACGAGTGCATTCAAGTCGAGTTGGCGCTGCAGATGCATGCGCTGTAGATGCGTGTCTGTTCTCACAGACAGACAAGAGAGATACATACATGTGACTGACATTCATGTCTGAAAATGCATTGTGTGACATTCAACGGCACTCATGTATGTCGCATCCGTCCGCAAGAATATGTAAGTCCGAGCGGATGTCTCGATTAGTGAGTGGACAGAGATATAAAATGTAGGCAGCCATTTCCACATCTCTGTCAAGCAGCGCAGCCACACACCCAACAGCTGTATGTATGACCTCCCCAGCTCGTAAAGGGCCTCGTCTACGGAGAGCGTTAGACCGCTCAGAGCCGGTCTAATGGCGCAAGCTTGTATCACGGACCTCCTGCAGACACGACGGACAGGTAGACAGACAGACACACGAACAGATGGGGACAGCAGACGACTTTCACTTAGTTACTTGGGGCAGAAGTGCATGGCCGACTTGCTTGTGCCACTTCCTGAACGTTCCTGTGCATGGGATGTGATACACATCACAAAGAATATAGAATGCAGGCGGCGATACCCATCTGACCGATCGAAGGAAAGAGACACACACAGATGCACATAAAGACGCTACTGGCGCGCGTGGCCAGGGGATAGATGTCCCTCTCACATGCCGCCCATCCATCCATCCATCCATCCAGCCAGCCAGCCAGCCACCCATTCAAGCCGCCCGACGCGCCAACGAAACACACACACACGCAGAGAGAGTGAGAGAGCGAAACGTTGGCGATGCACAGACCTCTATCACTCTGTCTCTTGGGGCCAGCTGTGTGTGTGTGTGTGTGTATGGCTGTCTGTGTCAGTCACATCAAGAGACCTCATCCCACACAGGCACTCGTCCCCAACTCACTTTGTCCATTCAATCATCGAGGCATCACTTTCGCTCACTCAACACAAAGACAGCCCGTGTCTTTTCTATCAAGCGGCAAACCAACACAGGCACACCGCATTGTGTGACATTGTCCTTCTGTCTTGCCCACTCAAAACCTGCCGGAAATGGCGTTGTGCCGTCCTTGATGTCCTCAACAAACAGCGCCATGCACGCCCTCAGGCCCCTTCCCTGCGCCTGAGGGAGGGGATGCGGCCCTTCCGTGTCGGTGTCCTCCTCGCCTCGTCCCTTACGCTTCCTCTCGCCGCTCGCGGCCTGCGGCTGAGGGGGTGAGGGCCAGGGGAACGGCATGGCTGGCGTAGCAGCAGCAGCAGGGGCGTCTTCCATCTCACAGTCGTCGGCGGCGGGGTCAGCGGCGAAGAAGGGCTGCGGCAGCCGCGACCTTTTCTGCCGCTTGGCGGCAAAACGGGCATTGTGCTCATTGGCGGCCTTGCGCGCCGCTGAGCCCTTCAGGGCGTGCTCAGAGACATACCCACATGGCTCGCAGTACGGCCGCTGCACACACACGCAGAAAGAGAAAGAGATGACGTGCAGCATTGGGTGCCGTCGTGTGTTTCGATTTCACGCTTACGCCTCTGTTGTTGGTGTAGAAGCCTCTGTATCCGCCATCGAGCACAAACTTGAACGGGTAGTCCTGCAGAGAGAGGAAAGTGGCAGGGTGCAATGCAATTGTTGGTCCACCGATGTGTGTGTGTGTGGATCCCTCCCTCACCGAATTGATGTCGCGGTGGTCATATCGGCCTTCATGGCTGGCCCCCGTCTCTGTGAGTACTCACAGTGGAAGATGACCGCCCGATCCGATCCATCAATGGCCAACAGCGCACGCACAGTAATTCATTGCTGACGTGTGTGACATTGTTACTGGGGTGCTTGTTGCCGTATCTGGGTCGCCCGTCGGGTGCCACAGCGCGTTGGCTACGGCCTCTTTGCTGGCCGCGTGCACCGCTCCGTGATGACCTCCTGCACTCATATCATCATACACACAGAGAGAGGACACATAACAACAGTCTCTCCCCGTATCCTTTCTCTCTCTGTGTGTGTGTGTGTGTGTGTCTGTTGGCATACTCACCCTCATACTCCGGGCAATGGCCATCCAGGGCATGGCCATGAACACGCACTCCTTCTCCGAGACCACCTCCTCCCCCCTCTTCTCTGTCAATGTGGCGGGCGTGTTGACGTGCGTTGCGCTTGCATAACAGGGCAGGAAGCCCCACGTCTGCAGAGTGGTTGCCCTGACCGGTGGCTGGCTGGTTGACTCTGGGGGTCCAGCGCGCATCGACGACCGTGAAGCCATCCGGCAGCACGTCCGTGTGCTTCCCCGCAAACATATCCGCCAACTGACACACACACACACACACACAAAGGAAGGAGACACCGCACCCACAGAATGCAAATGTCGAAAGAGATAGACATTTCTCCGATGCGGGGCCAGCAGTTTAGCCCAAGGTGGTTGGCGTCCATCTGGACACACGGCGGGCCGCGGGGTCCCTACGCTCACTGACCCAAGGGAAACAGAAACACATACAATCAATGGATGGATGGAGTGGCCAAGCCATAGAGAGTGCCGAGCTCTGCCTGACGGACTGGACTTACTGCTGCTGATTGCGACGGGCGTCCTGGGAGTCTCGGGCGTCCCGGCTCCAGCCGCTGCTGCTGCGGCGCCATTGGCGTGGCCGATGGGACTTGGGGTGGAGGGCAGTTGGCCTGCTGCCGCTGCCGCTGCGGCAGCTGCTGGTGCTGGTGACAGGCGCCTGCACACATACATACATAGACACACACACGGGCACACGGGCACACGGGCACACGGTGCCAACAGACGAGCACAAGACAAGAAAGAGGAGGACAGCGCATTGCAGTGTAGGAAGGGCGACCATCAACCTCGCATACCAATGCATCGCTGGCACACACATGGCCCTCTTTGGTGCGCCATGCCCAACTCACCTTCTTCTTGATGGGATGCTCCAGTGGTGGGCAAATCGGTCTGCCGCCGGGCGCTGAGGACTCACGCAAAGCCAAAGCGACGTCGGAATTGAGGAATTCCGGCTGAAAACACATATCTTTTTAAAGACAAAAAGCTGTTAAGCCCCCCGTCTCGCTCGCCGTCTCCGAATCTCGACAGGTGAGCTCGAAATTTGGATGGATGACAGACAGGGATGTATGATCGAACGTACACAATGAGCCTCTTCTTCAGACCGTCAGTCAGTGTGGGTTACATTTAATTGGACTTGCAGAAGTCAGTCAGGTAGATTCGAGAGTGAGACATTCGTATGAACGTACGCACGCACCGCACCGCACCCTTACTCACGAAAAACGCCTAATAGATAGAAAATATCGCAGGCCTGATGACCATGCAAACACGCACATCCAGCATATAGTTCCTACGTTGACCTACGCAGACGTGCATGTCTCAGTCTGCTATTCCCTCCGCTGCCTCGATGCACTCACGCGTCAAGGCGCCTGTACGTACCGCATGCGGCACGACCGGAGGAAAACCACGCACACGCACGGAGCCACACACACACACACACACACACACGAACACAAACACGAACACGCACACGGCCGCACGCTATGCTGGTGCATATGAGACGTGCTTATGTACACCCACATATCCACAGATAAACACGGGAGGAGAGAGGGGGCACGGACACAGCCGCACAGACAGCTACCGAGACACGCGTCAGCAGGAAAAACACCAAATCCAACAGCAGTCAGTGTGTCGTGCCTCCCTCTCTGCTCACGCACACATACATACCTCCACTACACCCACACCCACACGCAACACGCACACACACCGTCTGACAAAATGACCAACAACACAATTCCATCATTCACGAACACAATTTTAGCCAAGCAGTCAGATACCTACCAGCCCATCCAGCCGTGCGGATCTACCCATCCATGCTGCGTGTTGTATACGTACGTCTCAGTCATGTTATCAGTTGCCTTCGAAGCAGGGTACAGTATAGCGCTACCGTTGAAGAAGGGCTGGTACCCCGACGCGAAAAAGCCGCTGAAGGGGTGGGCCTCGCGCTCCTCGTCTGCCACCCCGTCGTCATCGGCGGGATAGAAGGGGCCGTCCATTCGGTCGGGACACGTGAGGTCGTCAGGCGAGGTCGCTGTAGCGCCCCCATCCGTCTCGTAGCCCAGCTGTGAGTCGAACCAGTCGCCATACACGTTCAGGCAAAAGTACCTGGACGACAGACAGACAGAGAGACCGGTGCAGTGCAGTGCAGTGCGCAGCAGAGGGATGTGGGTGGAGGCTGGTGGTTGGTTGGTTGGGTCGGTAGGGGAGGGGGGCTCACAGTGAAGAGAAGTCTCTCTTGGAGAGTGCTGACGTGAATAGCTTCACATGGGCGAGCTCCCCTACAAACGAGCTGGCTGGCAACAGCTCGCCGGTCTTGGTTGAGAGGGTATAGATGTGCCCCGCTGTCAGGATGCCATTACGATTGAGCCCATTGCGGGACTTGAACGGGTCGTCCTCCTGCACACCACAAGACACACAGATGTGCCTTCCTGCACTGGTGGGCGCAGCGCTTTGTTCCGTGTGTCTCACCCATAGCGCCTCGGTGAACACCACCTCTGCGTTGCGGAAGACGATCAGATCGTATCCGTCGTATATCACACCAACATGAGTCCACCCAACGATATCGATGTCATCACCTGCAGTGCACACCACAAAGAAGACAGACACCCACGCCCACACAAGATCGATGAAGAGATGCATTCGTTGTCGGTGCGTAGCTAGCTGATGTGCACTGCACATGCACCCACTCACTCAGCCAGAAGTCGTCAACATCCACCGTTTCCCCAGCAACAGTTATTCTCAGCTTGCCGCCCGGAACTGACTTGACGGACAGCTCCTCCGCACTGCCGTCCACCCCAGGAACGGAATAAGTCACATACGGCACCCCCTCCTCACCACCAGTCAAGAGATCCTCCACAAGGGATGGATCGTGTTTGACCCACAAAGCGACAGTGAAGGCCCGGACGGATGGGGGAAGGGTGTGCGTGACGGTGGGGCAGGGAGGGAGGGTGACACGCGGGAAGGCGTCCGTGTTCGTCAAAGGCGGAAAGACGAGCTTTTTGCCGGGGTCGGGGTCGTACCACCTAAAGTAGTCCGCTTCAAATACGCCTGGCAGGTTGGTCTCGTCCATGTTTGCGAGGCTCGATGAGGTGATGATGGCGGTGATCCACCAGTGCCACTCAGTCAGCTCCTGAACGGTCATATACCGGTTGTCGAGAGTGCCGAGGAACACGCCATCCTTCCATATGCGGTTCTGCAAACAGGAAGGAGAGCCCTCTGTGTCAACTCAGGTGGCCTTCTCTGCACGTCGACGCGTACGTACGTAGTTTGGCGTGTATTCAACTCCCCACACCGTCCACTTGTTGACGATGCCCGGCAGGTCGGCAAATCGGCCGCTGTAGTACGTGCGAGGGTCCGGTGACCACTTTATCAAGTTCCACTGGGCTGTGCTGATGCCTGCACGAAACACACAAGGGAAGGATGCTTGAATGGATGGATGGTCGGGGGCTATGTGTCTGTCGTTGGACGTACCTGAGTTGATTTCGACGACATCCAGCTCCTGCCTGGGGAAGCCCTCAATGTTGCAGATCTCACAGGCACCGGCCACCTGAGTGTCAGCCGTGGCCGACCAGAAGGCCTGCCACCACCCTCCATCCTTCCAGGACCTGATGCGGCCCTCAGCGTAGCCAAAGGACACGTTGAAGTTGCTGATGATGCCACCTACACACACGCGGCGACGCACACAGATGCACGCAGGGTTCGCCGGACACTGCACTGCCGGACACTGCACTGCCGGACACTTACTTACCCCCGAAGTATTTGAAGTCCCTCGTACAGCCGTCCATGGTGTCGTTTTCGGGACAGCCTTGTGACTCTGGGATTTGCACGGTGATGTTCTGGTCCACGCTCTCGAGCTTGATGCGCATCAGGCCGTCAGACACACTCACCTGGTGGACACACGCGACACCACCAATTCCATCCATCCATGCCGCCTGCCTGCCTTGCAACCATTTGTCCATCCACCACCCGCCATCCCTCACCTGCTGTGGCCTTTGACAGCTCAATGACGTGAACTTGCACTCACGGCGTTGGTGCCATTTGCCCAGATCGAGCCCGCTGCCCTGGAACTCATCTGTGTACTCCGGTGTGGGTTCACTAAGATAGCCTGGAGGCGGCCCAGGCGCGACAGCCACTGCAATAAAGGCAACAGACAGACAGACACAAAGATGCGGTGTGTGTGCGTGTGTGTCTGTGTGAACGCCTGTGCGATTGACTGTCTGTACCAGCACTTTCTCGGGCCTGGTGCTGCTTCCCTCTGCCTGGAATTGCCTGGTGCTTCTTCAGCCTCATTCCCGGCGGCCGCACACCCGCAATCACTTGGGCATCCCCCTGTAAGGCCAGCAGTGCCAGAAGCAACTGTAGCCACACGACCTGGCAGCAGCAGCCGCAGCAAGGCAGCCCGCCCCTCATCCTCGGCGGTCCGTCAAGCTACCTACCTACATCTACCTATCTGGCAGCACATCGCTCCACACCACACGCAGGCAGACAGACAGAACAGAGCAGAACAGAAAAGAACAGTGATCAGACCACCTGCCCCCCCGGCTGCCTTCGTATACAGGACTCGTACAGACGTATAGACACCTACAGACGACACAGACGGCAGCTGACTTGCTGACACTGTAGTTTTAGGGTCTTCAGATCTCCAACGGTCCCGATCGCGCGCCCAAGCGCGCAGGTTTGTCGCGTAGATGAATTGTGCAGAGGCGGAGGAGGACGGGATGTCCCGTGTGGGACTCACTGGCCTTCCCAGCGTCGACTGCCCGCTGCAGAGTCTTACAGGAAAAGTGGAGAGCGTCGTCAGAGACCTTAAGGTACGCCGAGCATCATCACTACGGAGGCTGAAATGCATGGCCGCGCTGCAAATGAATGCCTTCCCTTGACAATGGAATGTGTGTGCATTGTGTTTCCAGAGGCGTCGTGAGTTGGTTGAGCGGAAGCGGAAGGAACTCGATGAGTATGTGCGGGCCAGTGGGTGGCGGGACATCCGGGGCGATCCCAAGGACATCTTGGTCGTCAATGTCGGTGGGGAAGGCTTCACGGTGAGTGAGTATACAGACGTAGACAGAGGTCGTTCCTCCATGCCGCCCTGCCTCTGGCTGTCTGTCTGTCTATGTATAGGTTCCCCGCTCCACCCTCACGTGCGTGAGCGAATCCCTCCTATGCGACCTCTTCTCCGGCGGTATGCAATGCAATCCACGCAAGAAGGGCACTGTGACTTGACACACCCGCGCCAGCCATGCATTCATTGTTCCTTCAATTCTCCTTCTCCCCCTCCCTCTCAATGTCCCTCTCCCTGTCTGTGTGTCATGCAGCATTCGACCACATGCTCGTCCCCTACCAGCCAGCGGCTCCCACATCTCCTCCTTCCAGCCCAACCTCACCCTCTGCGTGCAGCAGCACGCCCCCCAACCCCATCTTCCTTGACGTAGACCCGACGGCCTTCCGCGCCATCTTGCGCGTTCTGGTCGCATACGAGCACGACAACCTGCTGTCGCTCGAGCCACGCAAGAGCGAGAAGGAAGACCCATCTGTCGTGTTCTACTTCGACCTCTTGCTGTCGCGGCCGACGGGTGGTGACGACAGCGGCTCTCCAGCGGCGGCGAGCACACCGTGCATGCGGGCGCTGCAGCGTCTGTCGTCGGACAAGGAGGTGACCCCGGTGCTGCAGACCATCCTGGACGACGTGCAGGAGATCGCCAGTGCCGTCGAGGGGCTGGAGCGAGACGTCATGAGGGAAGAGGAAAGCCTCAAGGTCGGCTGCTGTGCGCTGCATCGTGCACCCACCCGTACACATCACATCCGTGCAATGCATTGGCGTGTATGTTTATGTGCGCATGCATTTGTGTTGGTAGGAGGGGAGGAAGACGTGGGAGAGGCGCCTGCGGAGGGCGGGTATGTTCCTGATGAGCGAGGGGGAGGGTGTGCGGAGCGTCAGCTGCCTGGGTGTGACGGTGGCCACCTGCCTGTCCACCCTCTCTGTCTGTGGAGAAGATTCAAACCTCTACTTCCGCTTCTGCAAGTGAGTCACTGAGTGAGCCGCACACTCAGTGTGTGCGTCTCTCCACACACATCCAATCCACCCATATGGCTTTCTGTCTGTACCCGTACGTCTCTCCATCTCTCTATAAACAGGTGGAATCCGACTCTGCTGAATGCGTCGCCCGACTACTTCGCACGCGCCGTGGACTACTACAGGAGGAAGCGGCTGGCGCCGCACTCAGTGGTGTGCCTGCCGTCCCTCAAAGGCGACGACAAAGAGGGCCTTTTCAGAGCACTGGGCATGTAAGCTAAGCTCTCTTAATTTCACGCGCACATGACCTCACCCCACCCCACCCCTTCTGTCTGCATGTGTCTGCGTGCAGGTATGGCACATTCCCCGACTTGGTCGGCACGTCCGCCCTCCTCACCGGCGCCACGGCGCTGTCCTCCCTCTCAGCCTACCTCTCGCAGGCCCTCAACACGCCCATCAAGACCATCGAGTGCCTCTACCGGGCTTCAAAAGACGGATGGGCGTTTCCTGACCTCGAGAGGAAGATGCAGGGCAAGGGGCCGTTCGTGCTCCTCCTCTCACCCAAACCACCATCCCAAGAGGGAGACAACGGCAGGCGAGAGCAGGGGAGGGGCATGGTGGGCGCCTTTGTCGACCAGCCCTTCATCGCCACCGCCCCAGGCTTGGCGAGGATGGCCTCCTTCACGCGCGAGTTCTGCTTCACGGTGACCGAGGGCGGGCTGCTCGAGCCGGTCTTCCCACTGGCACTCGAGAACCACCTCACCTGCCGCATCGGCAGCGGGTCAATCACCATCCACCAGGAGAGCTCGCACAGCAAGGACGACCACATCTCTGGCGCCTTTCATTTGGCATTTGCGGGCGGCCAGATGGGCACGTGTCGCGTGCGGGTGGGCAAGGGACAGACGGGCCACGTGTGGGAGGCGCTGGGAATGGGGGCCAGGATGGAGCTGGAGGGGGAGAGCGGAGCGGCGGAGAGAGAAGTGGAGTTCGCTACGCGAGATGTCGAGGTGTTCATTGTAGAGCGGTAGATAGTACAGAGGGAGAGAGGGAGAGAGGGAGGGAAGGAGAGAGGGAGGGAGGGGTGGGTTGCCTGTAGGACGTGTGGCGGAATGCCATTTTGTGCGTACGTTGGTCGTGTGTGTGTACTACCTACCTACATATCACATCTGTACAGTGTGTAATGTAAGCGGCTGCTCAGCTGCTGGTCTGGTGGCTGCTCTTTGCCACGTGCATGACCCCTGTGTGTGTCTCTCTCTGTCTGCCAATGTGTGATGGATGGATGGATGGCTCCTCAAGGTCTGTCTTACTGTCTGAGTGCGGCTGATTGATCGACGAAAGCCAGGCGACCTTATGCATACCTTTGTCGCTCCCACGTTGCCATCGGTGTATCACATCGATGTCCGAGGGGTCTGGGCCGGCAAGGCGATACACCTTGCTAGCTCGTGCGTCTCGGGCAGGGTGTGTGTCATACATCGATGGAGGCAAACGACGCTGTGGACTGATGTGTTCATGCGGGGCAAAGCCCCTTTTCAGCTTTCTCTCCTGTCGTGCCTTTGTGGTGTGGGTGAGCGGTTTTATCTAGTCGATGGCTGGATGCGTGTGTGTGTGTGTGTGTGTATGGTTCACACTTGGATGTACTGACATTGATGTCCGATATGACCTGTCCGTCCGCTGCCTATGCTGTGTGTGTAGTGCTGACCTGAGACCCCTTGTGCACCAATGGCTGCTGTGTATCTGTGTGTCGGTGCCTGGCTAAGACATATGGCTGCCGAGCCATGCGCGGCAGCGGCAGCAGGCACTTGTCTGTCTGTATGCAGCTAGCCTCGCCTCTTTCTTTCTTTCTCTTTCTCTTTCTTTCTTTCCTCCCTCCCTCCATCGCTTTGTGTCTGTCTGTACGTATCGACTGATCGGAAAGAGTCGTTCCTCTCCGTCCGTGGGGCTGTTCGGTGGCGGCTACATGTCGTGCGTGTGTATGTGTATCCTTGAGAGGTGAGGGGGAGGATGACGGTAGAGCGTGCATTCATTGAGCTGACTTGTCATAATGCCATCCCAGTCGAGCGTGCTGTTGCGCTGAGTATTTTGTCGGAGATCTGCTGGTAGCAAACATAACCCTGTTTGCTACCAGAAGATCGCCAACAGAAGATTCAGCACAGACAGCACCTCGGAAGACGTCATCAGGTTGAGTGGTTGTGTACACTAGGGACAAGAGAAACTGCCTGCCTCTATAGACAGCGCTTCACTGCCTGCTCCAGTGAATTGCCCGGACGGACGAATCCTCTCTAGCTCTCGTCTGCTTTCCTGCCTGCCAGTCATGGCATGTCACCCCTCCCTCTCGCTGTACACCGCCCACCCCTGTAAAGCGCTCCTCGCTCAAGTATGCAGCCATCCACCATCCAGCCTTCATCAGGCGCCAGAAGGAATCGGTCGGTCGACCGCATTCTCACTCTCTCCAAAACCATCGATGATGAGCCGTACACACGCATGACGCATGCACGTATACAAAGTCGTTCCTGCGTACCGTGCATTCACTCGTCTGTTGTTGCCTGACTGCCCAGGCGGACGCCTGCAGCGTCCGTTGCACACACAGGGCGCGGCGGGCGGGTGTTGTGCGGGGGGAGGGAGGGGGAAGGAAGAGAAGGAGAGAAATGCGCCCAGCAACCAATTCACAAATAGTGATGGATGATCCACAGCAACGGACGGACGGGCAGACGCGTAATCAAAACGGGCATGCAGGAACACCAGTATCACAGCACAGCACAGCACAGCACAGCATAGCAAGGCAAAACAAGCAGAAAAGACTCATCCACCCGCACACTTAGGGGAGAAAAATCGCTGCACAGAGAGAGATGTATGGTGGGAGGGGAAGGGCTGTCGGCCTGCATGCCTCTCTGTCTGTCTGTCTGTCTCTGTGCATCGGCGGAGTCAGTAGGTGAGTGGAGAGTCAGTGACGGGTGGATGGATGGATGGAGCACCGCGCACACATTACATACATACATACATACACATCAAAAACACACATATATGCACCAGCATACGAACCGGTGGACGTGTGGGGGGTGGGCGGGTGGATGGGGCGGTGTGTGCCTGCTAATTCTGGGGATGGGTGGCGTGGGGTGGGTAGGTGGGATGGGGTGG